GAATGTAATTTTCTTTGGGTCTTAAAGCAGGAGAATCCAAAGTAAATCTTGAGGGAAAAAAAAAAAATCCCAAACACAGCTATCTAATTCATGACCTTGAAAGACATTCTGTTGACTAGTCTGATTAGAAATGATGGTTCTGGTTGTCTTTTTGCCAAGGAAGTTCAGCTTGGAGCTGTTTTCTTGCTCTGGTTCAGGATACGTGCACAGGGACAGTCATTCTTTAAAATGAAGATGGCTCTGTTTTTTATATCCCTTGTAGGCAGCCAGAGAGATCTGGGTGACATAAGATGCTTTTGCACGGCGTATCTTCTGCTCTTGTTTATATAATGTGAACAAATAACTCTTTTTTGCCACCACTTCACCTTAGACAATGGTGCGTGTGGAGGCTGAACTCTGACGCCATCTTTTCCTTCTATGCAATCATGCCCTATCTGATGTTGCCTTGCTTTGCTCTGGGCTTCAGTGGGTTCTAGCTGCACACTGGCCTTGCTGAGTTCTTCTTTTTCTTTTCTTTTTTTCAAAGATCTAATTAATTAATTAATTAATTTCTTACTTCACTAGAGAGAGATGAGAAAGAGAGAGAGACACAGGGAAAGTGAGAAAGCAAGCCACCAGGTTTGGGACTTGAACTGTGGTCGATCATGTGGGAGTCCAGCATCTTAACCACCACACTATCTGCTGGCCCCTTTGCTGAATTTTTCAATTTGCTTAATAACAGCACTTACCCTGATTGTAACTCATATAACTTGACACAAGATCACACTGTTCTCTTGCCTTACTTAGTTGCTTAGTTAAGCACAGAACAGGCAATCTAAAATTCTGGGTTCATGCACAAGCTGGGAAGTAAAGGGGAATGAGCCATATATCATAGAAAATGGTTGTTTATGGGTATAATTATTATATATGGTGCTTTTTTCTCTCCAAGTATTTTTCTAGCCTGGAATTAATTTTTATCTTCATTATCCCTGGGAAATAGGGCAAATAAGAGGGGAAATTGGATGCTGAATTTTGAGGCCAAAGACTGATCTTAACACACATTATTTACTATCTGTAGAACCTTGGCACGAGTCAACTGCTCTGAGATTCACGTTCCTCATCTGTGAAATGAGACTGTCTGCTGCCTACCTCACAGGGTTGTTGTGAGGGTCAAATGAGCATGTATGTGAAAGATCTGTACATGGTAAAGCATGATATTCTCGTTTGTTAAAAAAACAAGAAAGAATTGTTATGAAGGGCCTTCAAAAAGCTCATGGAAAACTATGCATGGATTTCAAAGTGTTTTTGCACCAAAATAAACTCACTTCGCTTTCATTTTTTCCACAAGATTTTTGAAGCGCCTCTGTATTTTATAGTCGTATATATTTTACTTATTGAATCTATTTGCATTATTTAAGAGTGTAATTTTTGAGACCAGCAGATGACATAATGGTTACATCACTGGACTCCCATGTAGTCAACTGTGGTTCGCGTCCTGGACCCAGCAGCCTGAAACTCATGCCAGGTGACTGTGCGTGTGTGGGTGCAAGATCCTGAGAAGTGAATGGAGGAGAGGGATTTAGGTCTGGCCATGGCCTTGGTGAGAGATTTCTCACTTTCTGTCTTTTTGTCTCTCTTTGTCTTTCCAGCAAGTGCATACATTCTATTGTAAAAACCAACTCTCTAAAAAAAGAGTGTAATTTTTGTTTAATTCACATAATATTGAGAAAAAAAAAGTGACTTGAAAAACACATGAGGCATGTGTGTATGTATGTCCAAAATCCTCATGGAAAGGAGGATTGGAAGAAAGGGGATTACAGTGTGGCCCACCACTTTGGGGCACGCATGCTCATGCACTCTCTGGGAAAAAAAATAGATGTTGTAGCAATTCTGAATGCTGATTCTTCCATTCCCATCTCCACCCCCAGGCTTATTGATGTTGCTTATTTATCTGCTTAATATTTGTACAGTGTTTTAGTGAAATCTATCTCCCACAATGTGAAGCATCTGATGTCCCTCTTCAGAGAATACAGGCACATGTATGCTTACCCTGGGATGACAGTGGTTTAGCAGGACTCTCTTGACTCTCCTGAATCTTTCTTTCTTCCTTTTGTTTTTTAGAGAGATTTTTGCTATAGGATGTGTTTGCTCACTGGAGACACAGAGAGAGATAGAAAGACAGAAAGCGAGAAATCACTCCCCAGGGAGGATGGCCATGCTGCAATCCCTCCTCTTCTATTCTCCTCTCAGGATTTTGGACTCGAATGTACATGTGCACGGTGTGAGTTTGAAGCCACTGGGTTCAGGACTCAAACCATGGATGACTACATGGGAGTCCAGCAACATCACCATTACACCACCTGCTGGTCCCTCCTTAACCTTTCCATTAAGCTGTCTACCTCTGCTAGAGTCACAACCAGCTCTTAGGCTTATCTACTGATGGCCATTGAATGGTCTATTGTTTTCAACAATCTTCCATGAATTGATTGCCCCAATGTTTGATCCAATTGAATCCAGGATCCTTTGCAAGGATAATTCTTGATGTCCATTTTTGAAGTTTATTTTGACCCCAAGAATGTTCTTGGCCATGTCTTCATTTCATCCCCTCTGGTAAACTAGCTGGCTGTAGTTTAGCTTGTTGCTGTCATGGAACTACTGCCTTTTCTTAATTGCTTACCATCAAAATTCCCAGTTTTTTTGAGAGCAAGGCTTCTTAAGTTCAAACTCCCCCAAATTGTGTTCCAGATCAAGTCAATTTCTTTAGGAAGTGTTTCAGAGTTCTCCGTCCTTATGTCCTAACTCTCCCACTAAGAAAAACCTGAGTCCCAGCTCCAGAGCGGTGCCTTCTTTTATTGAAGAAGCACCCTTGCTTCATAAACTGCTTGCAGGACATGGGTGGTGGCCTTTCACAGCACAGAACCATTGCTGTGTGAACATATGATGGCAGGGATGTAGGGGTTCAGTGTTCTCATACTGCCCTGACCAGGGTAGCAGCTCCTTCCTACAAGTGGGAATTGGATGAAAGAAAGGAATCCTGGGCCAGCAGGAGGCATTATGGTTAAGGTGCTGGACTCCTACATGGTCACCTGTGGTTCGAGTCCCAGACCTGATAGCTTGAAAATCATGCCAGACACGTGTGTGTGTGTGTTTGTGTGTGTGTATGCCTAGGAGAAGAGATTGTGACATGGCTATCCTCCCTGGAGGGTGATCTCTCACTTTTCCTCTCATTGTCTCTATGTCTTTTTTTTTTTTTTCTGTCTCTAGTGAGTGCACATGTCCTAAGACAAAGACTGCAAAAAAATAAATAAATAAATAAATAAAAAGGAAGAAAGAAAGAAGGAATCCCTGATTTTTTGCCTGTACTCACCTGGAATTTAGTCTCTATAACAAAGGAAAAGACTAGAAATGCTTGACCTTTCCCTCCAAGACAGATGCGATAACCCTTGACTAGGAGCTTTGGAAGTTGGGAGCCCCATCTTTTGGTCACACCCATACGGAGTTGAGCTCCCCTCACGCTGAGCTTACGAGATGGAAAGAAGGGATTGTGGTTTAAGCGTCACAGAGTCTTGCTTAATGAAATTTAGTGGATTTTCTTAAATGTTTCTTTGTTTGCTGTATGCCCTTAAGACAGTTTTCAGAGACTAAATGGCCACTGTTTTCTCTCTCTTTTTTTTTTTTTTTTTGAGAA